GGCCATGCTGAGGCCGTGTCCCACATACAGCAACTAGAAGGATGTGCAACTATGACATACAACTATCTACTGGGGCTTTGGGGAGAAAAAAGGAGTAGGATTGGCAATAGATGTTAACTCAGAGCTGGTCTTCCTCAGCAAAAAGAGGAGGATTAGCATGGATGTTAGCTCAGGGCTGATCTTCCTCACACACCCAAAAAAAAAACAAGTATCCATTTTTTAACCCAGTGGAAAGAATTTAAGTGTTATGGTTTCTTAATGAATGGCCATTTAAATGTAACATACCATGTATAAATTGTAAAAATAATACAGTTTAAACAAACAAATTTCTTATTGGATTCTACCTACATTGAATATGTTATATTCCATAATATTAATCGAATAGGCAGGTTAATGTTAAATAACCTGTGTAAATGAAAAATGTAAGAAAACATAAGTGGATAATTATGAAGTAAAAGAGAAAATTAGACTATTTCTGCAGATAATTGATCGCTGCATATCCACATAATTATAATATTTGTGGTGGTCATAGACTCTGCTTTTTGTTAGATTGAGTCGTATGGGATTTCTGTTATAGGCCCCAAAAATTGAACATGGTTACTTTGTGTGGATCAACCTATTAGTTTCCCTCACATTGTTCAGAAGAGGCTTTAACATGAGACTGAGTGTAAGAATTCATAATTTGTGATGTATGACTTTAAAAAAAAAGTAAATTTATTTTAAAATTCAAACTTTTACTTCATTCAGTAAACGACTACTTAATGTGTACAATGTTCTTATAATTTTAAAAGTTAGCTAACTGATCAGTTTCATTTTCTGTCAGTTATATTTTAACACTGAGATAATTTCATTAATACTCATACATATCCATGTGGGTTAAAATGGTATTACTTCTTGAAACTATATTACCTCTCTCAACTATTAGGTTATTTTTGCTTATCTTTATTGATTTTCATATCTTATAAGCAACAAAGACCTAAAATGTCATTAAGATAGCTAATATATCTTTCTTCTATATTTTTATGTAGTAGAATACAGGATTTTGTATTAATTTTGTTAAAGGTACAAATAAGAAGACTACAAAGCTTTTAATTTGTGGAAATTTAGTAATCCTAAATAAAAACACATAGATTCATTTAGAAACTTTTCTCTTACCTTCATTCGTTCAAACTGAGATAGAACTCTGAGTGCCCGAAGGAATTTAATGGAAATAAGTGGTTTTAGTTCTTCCCGAGATTTGCCTATTAAGCTAAGACAAAACACCTAGACATATTAAAAAAAAGAGTGGATAGGATTTAATTTTATTCAGAACAGTTTGTAAAATGAACTTTGCATTTATTACAAAAAAGATGCACAATCAAAGCCTACCAAGAATTACGCAAAAGATTTAATATATATTTCAATATATCTTAACAATGACTTACAGAAAGGTATAAGAAAATCATTTTGTGTTCAAATCACTTAAAAAAACATAAAACAAAAATATTTTCTGGTAATAGGAATATATGTTATTGAAATAAGCAAACATTTGTATATTTAACAGTCTTTATGATGGAGGATTAATATTTATATCCATTTTTAATTCCAAATTAGATTAAGAATCAGTTTCATGATTATTTGCAATATAGTAATAGTATACAATGTATTCATTAAAACAAAATTTTGAATATATTATATATGCATCTATATATAAATATAGTTAAGACAATATACATAGTGGGATTTCAGAGGAGAGGCATCAAGGAGAATATTAATATTGTTAAGTCCAAGTACAAATTATGAAAATGTATGGGAAGCTACTAAGATTCTTTTTTAAAGTAAACATATATGCATAAAAATGATTCAAGGTTAATAAAGGTTAATGCAGATTGAGCATGGTGGTAGAGTTATGATTAACTTTTATTGTATCTTCATATTTTCTATATTTTCAAGGCAACATAAATAAAAAATTTATTCTCTTTATTCTATACTAAAGAGATGGTCTTGAAGTGGGCTGTGAGGGAAGGGTATCAATTATGTAAGCATGGAGGGATGTGGACACATACGAGCAATGGCCAGGAAACAGGAAAGTGGGCTGCAGGTATAGCGTGGTTTAGTCAGAGTAGAAGATTAATTTGCAAGAATTAATTTAGAAGACAGAGGTCAAATATTGTATGTCATTATTTATAGACTGAGAAACTTCAATCATTGCTTATTGAATAGGGAGCCATTTGTTCATTCAACAAAAATTATTGAGGCCCTACCATGTGACAGAGATTGTTCTAGGCACAGGGCATAAGAAGGGAAACAAACCAAGAAAAAATTCTGCCCTAATGGAGCTTATCTTTTAAGACAGACAATAGGCAAAATCAATCAACAAATTATGTAACATTAATAGGGGCAATGGAGATGAGGAAAGCAGAGAAAGGCAAGGGGAGTACTGGAGTGGTTGCAGTTTTGAATAGGGTAGTGCGGAAAGACCTAACTTCCACGGTTTCATTTAAGCAGACATAAATGAGGTGAGCCAGGCAAAGTTCCAGGTGGAAGGAAGAATAAGTGCAAAGGCACTAAGATGGAAGTAATCTTGGTATGTTTGAGGAGTTTCAAGAAGCCATTGCTTGTGTATAGGCAAAGTTCCAGGTGGAAGGAAGAATAAGTGCAAAGGCACTAAGATGGAAGTAATCTTGGTATGTTTGAGGAGTTTCAAGAAGCCATTGCTTGTGTATAGACCAGGATGGGGGAAAGGGAGAGCAGTAGGGGATAAGACTGGATCATGTAGAGAACTGGTAGGCCTTTGATTGCAAAGACTAGCTTTTACTCTGAGTGAGATGGGGTGTTTACCAGGGAGTTTCAAGAAGAGAGGTGACTTGAGCTGATTTCTATTTTACAACAGTAACTCTGGTTGCTATGTGGAGAAGAGAGTGAAGATGTGCAGTGGTGGAGGCAGGGACCTCAGTTTGGAATCTAGTGCAGTGATCCAAATGAGACTTTTTGGTAGCTTGGCTCAGTGTGGTGCTGGTGAAGGTTATGATAAGTGGTCTAATTTTAAATATACGATTTAAAAGTCAAGCCAACAGAATCTAAATATTTTAGGATGCTGATATTTTCAACTTATTGTGCAATAAGCCTATTCTGTTAGCAGTTGGATCATAGGTGACATAGAATAATCCAGAATGAAGCGTTGAACTTTTAAAATTTTAGAATGAGAAAGCAAGGATAAATATTGAACATTACAAATGAAGAAATATGGGATGTTGGTGAATAAAAATGCATAGAGAGAGGAAAAAGGAAGATATAAGTAAATGGAAGAGTGAGAGTAAAGAAGGAAGGGCAAACCAAATAACCTTTTAAATTTTTCTTTAAAATACGTACAATAACAACCATGAAGTCTAGCTTGTACCAGCCACTACTGAAATAGGCTTTAAAACCATACGCCATCCACTTTAGAAGCATTTCCAGAATGAAGATGTAGGTGAAGATCATGTCAGCATATTCTAATAAGATTTTAATAGTCTTTCTCTGATCGATATATATATCTTCAAAAGCCTGTGGGTGAAAAGTTTAAGGATTAGTGTACACATAATTTCTAAAAAATCTTTTGGGATAGAGGGGAATGAAATGCCATTTCTAGTAAGCAGATGATGAGCAAAGTTATAGATTGTAGTCTCAAGGGCTGGGTTACTTTGCTTGGATTTAGTCACATAATCCATAACTACATTTTTCTGATGCCATGCCTGTAGCAGACATCATTAATTAATCCCAGAACTTCTTCTTATAAAGACTGAACTTGGCCTCATAACTGTTCTAAATAGTGATCCAAAAGCCTCTCTCAAATCAGTTAACCAAACTTAATGTAAGAGACCGAACCTTTAGTCAATCTGACATGGTTCTTATCTCTAATTCTATGCAGCCAACTCACAGACACATGCCAAGTGCTAATAAAGGAGCAAAGATTAAAAAAAAATGTCTTCAGAAATCCATAGTTCTGTTACAAGTAAAAGTCACAAAGCTTGTTCCACTGTGGAAATAATCAGGCAAACCAGTGGAAATACAAGAATACAAAATAAACTATAATCATTTCTCCAAAGCTTTTCAGTTTTAATAGGCCAACTTTAATCTTACTGTGGAAGCTACAAAATCTGATAATGTCATTCAAAGGAATTTCATGGTGCTTTTATTTTAGCACTGAAAGAAGTACAAATAACCTCTGGCAGACTTGTCTCAAAGTACATTCAAGGTCAAAAAGCAAACAAGGATTAAAATAATCTTATGTAAAGAATGGTGTGATTCTTGTAAACCTACTGTTAAATAAAAGTAGATCAATATAAAATAACAATACAGTTACTGACTTTTTTTTTTTTTGCCTCCCCAAAGCCCCAGTACATAGTTCTATATTCTAAGTCCTTCTAGTTCTTCTATGAGATCTGCCGCCACAGCGTGGCTACTGACAGACAAGTGGTGTGGTTCCACGCCTGGGAACTGAACCTGGGCCGCTGAAGCAGAGCGTGCTGAACTTTAACCACTAGGCCATCAGGGCTGGCCCGAGTTACTGACTTTTATTTGAGCCAATTATGGACTAAAATTATATATAAGCAAATTATAAATATCATCTGAAGTTATTTTAAAGGACTGTATTATATGTATTTATTTATTGAATAGGTACATAATGAAAAATAAAGAGACAGACAAAAGTCTCCACTTCAATTTAAAAAAATTTAAAAACAGGCAAAACTAATCTATGGCAGTTGAAGTCCACTTACTGTTTACCCACGTGGAGTGGGGAAGTAACTGTGAGGGGTCAGAGTATGGTTCTGGAGTCCTGGTAATGTTCTATTTCTCAAGCCAAGTGACAGTTACACTGGTGCATTCACTTTGTGAAGATCTTTTACGCGATATACTTATCATTTGTACAGTTTTCAGTATGTGTGCTAAATGTCAATATAAAGTTTACTTAAAAAAATATATGCAGTGCAAAGTCTGGTTCCCAACCATGGTTCCATCTTCTCTGTTCTGTGCATCTCACAATTAACTATTTCTTATGTATCCTTCTTTGACCTTCTTCAATTAAAAACAAGCAAACAATATGCAATCTGTTCTTCTTTCTTTCCTACATAAAATGTAGCATGCCATATATTTTATTCTAGATCTTCCTTTTTTCACTTATTACCATATCCTGCAATATCAGCATGCATACAGCTTCTGTAATTTTTAAATAGCTGCACAGTATCCCATTGGATGATTGTACCATCATGTATTTAAACAGTTACCTATTATGGATTATTTTTGCTTTTCAATCTTTTGCTATTACACAAAATTCTTCAGTGAACAGCCTTCTAAATTCATTTAATAAACGTTCAGATATTTGTAGGATAATTTCCCAGAATTAAGATTGTTGGGTCAATGGGTAAATATATTTATGGTTCAAAGGTCCTTAAAAGTATATGCAACACTTCTCTTTCCTTATTGAATAGGTACCAAAGTACTAGCACAATACAACAGTTTTGTATGTGCATACTATTAAACTTTGTTTCACATATAAGAAGAAGAGGTATCTATTAGCATTCTTTTTTCCCATTAGTCATTCATATATTTTGAAATTGTATTATTTATTTAATAGTGAACGAGGCATACAGACTTAAGAAACTGTAATGTATATCTTCCAAAAGTAGAATCACAGAATATGAACTTTGGTGTTTTAATAAGTATTCTGGAGAAAACTAATTTGGCATGGTGACTTTATGAATTAACACACTTCAGATACATTTTTTCCTGTAAAAATTTCACATACTCTCTCTTACCAGAGCACCTGTGCTGAGCAGAGTGACAAAGCCAATGAAACATTTAAAAAAACTGTTTTCTACTATCTTGCAGCAGGTTTTCCTTATGTTCTGCCAAATTTTTCCTTTCTTAGATTCTCTACTGATTTGACCAGGTGAAGATCTTCGTCCATAACCTGTCAAGAATGAAACCATTAAGAACAAAAATCTTGAAAACTCATGAAAATGTAAACGTCTCAAACTTTCTCTCATATGCTTTTGTAATTATTTATTTATAGAATCTAATATAGGTGGTCTCTCACTTATAAACATTTGATTTTTATCCTTGCTGTAGTGACTGCTGCCATAGTTTGTGAGTTTGGTAAGAGTAGGAGGAAAGAAACTGTGAAAGGCAGAGGTGACTTAGAACATCCACTAACCCTGCAGGACAGACTCTAAAAATAGAATTTATCCTCTACTCCTACAAAAAAAATACACACACATATAACATCTTCTGAATATTACAGTTTGGTAAAATGCCTGAAAATTCATTCTCTGAAGATTCACATGGCATAATGTGTTCCCATTTACATACATAAATATTTATGAAATGTTAAGAGGTATAATATCAGGTAAATCAACTAAATTGATTTCAGTTCTTAGGTGGCAGGAGAATGAAAATTTTGATTGAGACTAGCTAAGAAGCTAACCTGGATTATGGAGTACTTTGTGGGTACGGTACACGTGCATGGGGTTGAACCCTACCTTCTGGTCAAGAGTGTTAACATAAGGAAAACCAGAGGCTTGAAAAAAGAGTGATTAACGGGTGAGAAAATGAATAAACGGAGGTGGGTGGAATTTAAAGTCACATTTCATTTTAGAATTTTACCTCGTGTCAATTTATACGTCTATAGGAAATATTTCCGCTCTTGTCTTAGATGATACAAGTCCTAAAACTCAAGCTACTGAGAGCAGATTCTCATTTTGAATACAAGAATTTGAGTATTTAACAATTACCATTTTGATGATTTCCAGCGGTTTCAAATGTTTAGAACCTGTAGTCATTTGTTAATCTTGCTTAGAAACTAATCTGAATTGAATGTCATCAAGAGGTATATGTTACGTATCTAATGAGTCAGCCAATCGACTGAAGCCTTATACATTTCTTAATATTCATGTGGAATATAAAAATATATGACCATTACATAATTTGTTTTCCTATGAAAGTTATAGGATGTTTTCATGTGAGTGTTTTAAATATTGACTCTATTCTATGAGGCCTAAAAACACACACACACGCACACGTGCACACAGACATATACACTAATTTACCTTTTTACCAATCCCATGAGGTAAATTTTTTTACATATTAAGAAATGAGTCAGAAAGAGGGTAAGTAAAAGCTAGTAAATTATGGACTTGGATTTGAACTCAGGCTGTGGGATTCCAGAGCCAATGTCCTTAACTACCGCATTCAACTCACTGGGAAATAAGCCCTTTTCCTCTTTTCCAAATCTTGACTTTTTTCTTGATATTTGTTGTAAGTTTCTATCGGGATTCACACAGGCACGTGTGCACGTGTGTGTTCACACACATTTGTGTGTGTGTATTCCTTAGCCAAATTAATAAACTCTCTAAAATTAAAAGTATATCCAATAGTATTATTTAGGTTAAGAGAAATTTAGTCTAATTTCAATATAATGATCAAAGGACCTTCTTATTTTCTTACCGTTTTTAAGATGCTTTGGTTTTTCACATTCATAGACCATTTCTTCTTCTTCAGAGAGAGCAATATCTACTGTACTGCATTCAGATGAGCTAGATTGCTTCACCTTCTGAAAAGTAAAGTCCCACCAAAAATGTGGTGATTAAAGTTTCATTTACTCACTGAAGTTAAAGTTTATTTCATTTTTAGAAATAAGAAAAATTGTCTACAGACAGACTACTATCCGGTTTAAAAGACTTTAGGTCAATTTCATGACTGATATTAAGATGCATACATATCTTTGAGTTGGTTTTTAAGAAATTGTTTTTAAAAAAATAATTTAAGCTAATATAATTTTTAGATTAAAAGTAACATTTAGTTAATTACACTGTTCTCATAAAAGATGTATAGGCTAGCTCCATTTTCCAAAAGGATTTGAGTTTCAACACTTTCTTGAAGTTATTTCCAAGGTTCCCATATATGTTATTTCACTTAGATGAGTAGCACCAGAATAGATCACCCCTTGATGCTAAAGATGGGCAGACAAGATTGCACTTAGTTTTTATCTTAAAATCCAGTCCAAACATCCTTGTGTATGTCGTCATAGGACAGGATTGGTGTGAGGTTATCCCGAAGGGAAACGAAGGAATGGCACAAGGAATAGGGTCAAGAATAGAATTGGGAAAGTGACACCTGCCCTATGGAAAGAGGCTAGTTGCAGGGATTGACATTCTTTCCCACTCTGCTCTTGATTGATGTTCAAGACTGGCTAGGATAAGGTAGTCATGACATTGTACATGTGGTAATACTGCAAGTGACATGCATGGCTGTTTTTTGAAATGATTTTCTCGTAATGCTTTATTTTGCCTTATTTAAAAATGAATATGCAACATGTTAGCCTTTAAAGTGAACAAGATCCTAAAGTTAATAGCATATAAAATTATTTTCTAATTTAAAAAATTAAGACAAGTGTGCTAAACATTTGGAAAAAAATCAGTCTTATTTCTTAAAAATTAAGGAAAGATCTAGAGAAAGTAGAGTATATAAAAAAGGAAATTATAAATATTTTGTCATACCTCTTGGTCTTATGCACAACAAGTGTCAAGGAAATATAATTAGGAAGCTCTGTTTGCTTTAGACCTTACATGGTCAATTGTCAGTAAGACACTATGGTGCTCAATTAAAAAAATATATATCCAGCAGGGTATTACTTTTAAATAAACAAATCATTTTTATTATTGAAATTCCACTTATATTTTCTTTATTTCTGATGAAATAAGGGCTATAGTTACTGGAGAGAGCAGCTGCCAAGAAGAAAGAGATCTGGGAGACAAGATGGTGCCGGAGACTTTGGGGACTTAGAAAGAGACATTCTCTGCCCCTCCCCAGTGCCTGTGAGTGATCTGAGATGATTCCCTAGTGAGGGCCAATGCAAGAAGCCCACGGTGCAGATGTGATCTCTGTAGATGCAGCCTTCTATTAAATTACGCCTTCTAATAAGACATTATGCTGCTTGCAAATGAAGACAAGAAGACTGTATCCAGTAGGGTATACATTTTAGAAGCTAAGTGAACAGCAATATCTACCCTTCTTTGAATGTGTCCCTTTTTTTTCTGTCCAGGAATTTATAAAGCTACAAACTATTCACAATTCAAACTAGTGGTTTGTCTTTATTCTTTTAGTCCAACTTAATTATATATGCTATAATATATGTTTCAGAAACTGAACTGACAAGAATCTTAGAATTTTAGCAAGTAAGTATGTATCTTAGCACTATTACAGTCCAATCTCACATTTTAACGATGATAAAGCCCAGAAGAGTTTAGTGATTTCTCCCATAATATACATTGCTTTTGAAATCTTAGGTTTCTTCAGTATGCTTTTCATCACCCCACACTGCCTGCTTATTAATTTATAAAATCCTATAATTATATTATCTAATGTTTACTAAGTGTTCATACTGGGGATTTTTCAACACACTATTAAACTTTTTTTTTTTAATACTTCTATCCTCCTTAAGAAGTAGATACAATTTTATTTACAGATGAGGAAATTGAAGCTTAGAAAGTTTAAGTCACTTGATCAGGAGCATAAAATCAGGAGCAAGGAGTGCTATAGTTGGGACTGAATGAGTAAGTAATCTAACCTGGAACTTCAGCGCTGATTCACTTTCTTATCAACAATACCATACAACCACAATAAGCAATCAGGATATTGAAACATCTTACCTCTTTGCTGCTTCCATCACCTGACTTGCTCTGAACCTCCTTATTATCCAGATTTTCTATATCAGATTCTCCTGAAGCAATTGGTACAGTTTCTGAGGCACTGGGACTGGGGATAAGTGATTGATTCTCATTTTCGGTCATTGTGTTTTTCTCTGTGCCACTGCTTTTTTCCTTCTCCTTGAGGAAATCTTGGGTGTTGCTCAATTCAGAAAGAGTATGGTCAGAAATATTCTCTTTAACATATATATCATTTACATTGTCCATTGTCTCCTTTAGAACATTTTGTTTTTGGCATAATATTCTAGAAAGCACATAGTTTATTCCTTTCTTAATCCTTGCCACTGCATGCTGGAGATTTTTTGCTTCATCGTTCTCTTCAGTTGTTGCAGTCTTGTATGAACTAAATGAGCTCACCAATGCCAGAAAGAGGTAAAGTATCTAAATGAGGATGTAAATGAGGTTAAATGTATTTCATTTTTTTGTTTCCTTTTAAACAATAAAAAATCCTTTAAAAATGCTGCCCCGAGATTTGAAAACAGCATATGAACTACAATGCTATTTAGGCTATTCAGTTCTTACTCATCTACAATGGGTCAGGTGCTGTGCTAGGGTTTGTATAGCCAGAACTCATGTTAAGGTCACAACATTATATGAAATATTATTTGTTTCTCTTTTACAGATGAAAAAGGCAAGGCTTACAGATGCCAAATATTAAAGGTCACACAGGTTGAACTCAAGTCTTTCTTGTTCCAAAGCTTGTTTTCTTTCACTGAGCCAGGCCATCTACCCCAAGGTGAGAAAATGAATTGTTACTCCAGGTGGCTGACTTCACTACAGCCCTATCCCAGGAATCATCCCATGTAATGATTGACATCTTCATGGGTTCTGCAAACACATGAGGAATCTCATGGGGAGACAGCTATCCCTGGTTCTGAAGCTTACATCTAATTTTCTTTGTGACATGTAAATACAGAGTTTGGGCAAGTTAATTGACGCTCTGTGATAATAAATTTGGTCACCTAAGAAAGAGATGAGTGATGGAAGAATCAGTCCTAATATCTGCAAGTTATTTTTAACTCAAAGATAGTGTATATTTTGACCTTTACTGTCACTGAGAAATATGATCAAGGCATGTTCAGTTTCAGAGAATCAGATTTTTATCTTGTTTGTAGTTATAGGGTAAAGATTATAACTTTGGATTCTAGTGTAGGAGATTCATATTGATTACTCTCTTAGACTTAAAATAGTAATTTGAGCATTTTGCCTATTCTGGCAGTTTTTTCCCCTCTCTTCAGATATTTGAGATTTTGAAGATTTAATTTACTTTATGCTTTACATATCATTTTTAAAAGGAAAAGTTCAAATGGCATACATTGTGTTTAAGAATATATATGTATATAACTTACGTAACTAACAGTTTCCTGCCTATGTTTCTGATTTCTTCACATATTAAGATCTACTCTTAAAAATAATTATACTGACAATTTATGTGTACATAAAATAAAATAATTAAGTATGTGAAGATCTCCAAACATTTGTTAAAATTTGTCAGAATTTCAGGTCTATGTGAAGAAATGAAGTTCTCAAACTCTCTGATAGTTACTGTCTTTCTCATGCACATGCACACATAAAACAATATGAAGTGCCCACTAAATAATGTTCAGTTCTAATGGATTATTTTTACTTCTTTATACCTAGATCTTTATATCTCTTAGGAATAGAGAAAGCTCAAACAAGACTCACTCATATGGAAAAATATTGTTGCAGATAATGAAGTCATCAAATAGATAATCTTAATCATAACCGTATTTTGGGTGTAGTAATAAAATGCAGTGTTCAAGATGGCTCAACACTGGAAATTTCTTAGAAATGAGATCATCTGAACAACTGACATATATTTTCTATAACCTACAATGATAATCTCAAAGGATAAAAAATAAAAACTGAAAAGACAATGATCAGATGCCAATACCCCCAGAGATTAGTTTGATTGTTCTCCCACTAGTGTCTCATTTTGACAATAAGGTTTACTTATAGATAATCTGGGTGGGGGATCCTTGGCCCTTGTAGGAACTATGCTATTAGCACCTCTACCATTCTTAAAGAACAATGAGTTTAGGATGCAAAAGGGCAAGACCAAATATAATTTAAGGTAGTTGGTTATTTCTTTTCCCTCCTTTGTTTGGTTAAGTATGAGGCACAGTGAGAAATTAGAAAGGGTGTTAGGTAAGAATTTCATGATTGTAAGCTTCATATGAATAGGAACCACGTTTTCTCTTACCTAGACAACTAGCACAGCGCTAGGCACAAAGTAGGTGATAAATAAATATTATTGAAAAAATTAATTAATTGTAGAATGAAGGAAAGAATAGATTTTGTGCGAGGATTTGGACAACGAAAGATTATGATACAACAACTGTATTGTTAAGAGCTTACAATCTAAGATTTCTTATATCTTACATATATGTACACACACACACTCACACACATATACATGCATACATACACATAGAGGAAGAATATATAGTATGAACGTTATATGGTATTAGTAAGAATGTTAGAAGGCTGAAATGAAGTTCAAAATTCTCTGGAACTGTGACATAAAGAATTCTGTAATACTGTAAAATGCTACTGCTTTGTTCAAGTGTGCTCTGAATAGCCTAGTCTCCTAAAGGATTAGAAAGGGAAAACAGGACGCGAAAATGACCAAAGCTATAGAGGATTGATTACCTCTTCTAATTTGAGCATTAATGAAGAAGAAAGGGGAAACACAAAGATTATATTGTATAAACTTAGAGCAACTTTCTTGCAGTCACAGTGTTGTAATGAGATTCAAAACACATATTTATTGCTTTTGTGTTAAGAGATAAAAAGTCATATAACGTATATAAAAGAAAACATTTAAATGTCTCCCCTGAAATTTGCTCTCCCTTACCTCAAAGATGTCTACCTATTGGGTGAGAACTGAGCTACTCGTCAAAATAAAGTAGTATGGAAGAGAAAGAAAATTCAAGATTTACCTAAGTAATTATTTTTCTCATTAGTAATCAAGGAATTTAACATATATTAAAGTTCTTCTATTTTAGGATTGTTCTAATTATATCTTAACATACATTTAATTTGGGAATATATAAGTATATATGGAATAACATACATATTTATGATAAAATTTTTAATTTTTAAAAAGCAAGTAGATTTTATATTAAGTTTTCTTTTCACGTTTCTATCCCTCATTGTTTGGTTTATGTAACCATAACCAGATACCACAGTTCACCTGGTGGTAACCACTTAAACTTCAGATAAAACACCTGGAGGTTTTGCCTAACTGAAACTTCTTAATAATGTTACATAATTAACAAAATTCTGTAGATGTGGGAGTTATAATTTTACGGAGTTTAAAAGAAGTAAAACAAACATTTATGAATATTTATGGAGTGCTACTTAATTTTATTTAAATTACAATAACCCTATAAGGCACGTATTATGTTCATTCTCCTCTTAGATATTGTCAGGTTTAAAGATGCTGTGTAATATGCACAAAGTCACTTAATTAGTAAATAATAGAACTGGAATTTGCACCTATGTTTGCTTGAATCTGAGCTCTATGTTTCTTACAACTCAGCAAGGCATAGAACTTTTTAAAAGCCACTTCAGATACTTGCTTTTGTACATGATGATTTTTTTAAGGTTTCCACTTAAGGCTGTTAATTGCAATTTTATTGGATGAATAAGATAAAATTAAATTAAAAAATGTAGAATACCTTCCTTTTACACCAATGCTATAGTTTTGATGTGAAATTACAATGCTGTAATGTAATGAGTTGGAAGTATGAGGGAGAAAAGATCTACAACCTTACAAATTCTCTCCTTGCATTTTTTCTCTTGTACTTACTCTAGTGTTATTATCATGATGCCCCACGGCTGGATCACTGTTGAGGCGACTTAAGCTTAAAAGATTTAGTGAGCCAAGCAATATGACGGCCAATCAATTGGAAATGGAGGTTCATGTAACTCCACTTTATCCTGAAATCTCTTTGCTAACTGACTTGAAGTTTCTGATCATTAGGAATAAGAAAAATGAGAAACAGAGTGGAGTTCAAAAACAAAGACAAAGAAATGCTATTATATAATTGCCTCAGCATGTCTCTTTCTTTGCTTTTGAACTATGTGTATGTGTGTGTGTCTGTGTGTGTGTTTGTTTGTGTGTGTTGTTTACCTCAACAGCCATCAGCTATGGCGCTTCCTTTTGGGAATAGAAACTCACATTTCATTTGGGAAATTGCCCTTATCCCATTATTAGTCATATGATACAGGTTTGGATTGATGCCATCTCCAGCTCCAGAGGAGGGCTCTGAGTGGCTTAGCATAATAATATATGTTAACATATTCCACACCCTGGGCAATGAGTAATAAATGTAATTCCACACCCTGGGCAATAGAGATTGCTTCAGAAATGGACACATGACTCAGAGCCAATGCAATAATAGGAGAAATTTGCTGTGGCCTCTAAGAAAGAAATAGGAATTATCTCTTCTGTTCAATTTGATATGATATGAAAACGTGAAGCTTTAGACTGCAGCAGCCATCTTGGTAAAACAGAGGCTACCTGCCAGCAAGGGGCACACAGATCTGAGACATATAAAGACTTGTCTCTAATGATCCTGCTTGAATATCTTTGTCACACCACACTGAAGTGAGACCTCTGATATTTTGAGTTATGTATGCTGACACATATGCTCTTTTTTGTGTCAGCCAGTTAGAACAGTGTTTTATGTCACTGGGAGCTGAAAGCATGCTAACAGCCACAAAGGCAGAGGATATTGAAGTATTTTTACACGTTGGGCACTGTTCTAGGCTTTGATGATATAGAGAAGAGGCATGATCCTTTCCTTCATGGAGCTTACAGTTTAACAGGAAGATAGACAAGTACATCAACAATTAAACACAATACCAATGTGATAAGTGTAGGAGAGGGGTATGCCCCCGGCAAATAGAAGCAATGAGGAAGGGCACTGATACAATGGAGCCTAACCTGTGATTTTTTTTTTTTCAGTCTTTTGGGAAATGTGCTTGATGCCTATGACTTACGAGTAAAAAGCAACTATTGAGTCTCTTTTTTTCCTGTAAGAACAGTTTTCTTTTATAAGCAATTCTTTTTTCTTAGAAGAAGTGAAAGCTTTTTACTCATTGTAAAAGCTTTTTACTCATGTAACGCCGCTTCGATTATTGGAAATTTAAGAGTGAAAGCTTTCCCTCTTAGTTAATGCATAATAGTTTTATAGACCAGTGGTTTTCAAACTTTGCTGCACAGTTTAATCAAATGAAGATTTTTAAAATATCCTGATGACCAGACTATGTCCATATACCAATAAAATCAGAATTTCTGGGAATAGATCCAAGACATTAATATATTTTTATTAATCCCCCAGGCAATTCCAATGTGCAGCCAAGTTTGACAACCAGTATTATATTTAAGTGCTTCTTAAAATTTAATGTGCATACAAATCACCTGGGGATATTGTTAAAATGTAGATTCTGCTTCCATAGGTCTGGGATGGAGTCTGAGAGTCTGTGTTGATAACTATCTCCCATATGATGCCAACGCTAGCCTGAGTAGCAAGGTTATAAACCAGTGCTATCCAAAGAAATATGATGCATGTCACATATGCAATTTTCCAGTAGCCACATTAAAAGCATAAACAAAAACAGGTGAAGTTAATTTTACTAATATATTTTATTTAACTAAATGTATCAAAAATACTATCACTTTAAAATGCGTTCAATATAAAATTATTAATGAAATAATTTACATTCTTTCTTTGGGTAAGACTTCAAATCCAGCGGGTATTTTACACTTATAGCACATCTCAAATTGGATCCCTCATATTTCAACTGATCAATAGCCACATGTGGCTAGAGGCCACCATATTGGACAGCACAGTTAGAGACTACTGAATCCCATAAATCCACATCGGGAAAATACCAGACTATATTACACCAATTTTTGAAAGAAAATTTAAAAGCACGGATTACTTACCAATAAGTTTCCAATTAAAATGACCATCATGTAAAAAGGAATACAACTGAATTGGCCTGCTACCTTAAAACAATCCCATAAAGTCTCTATCCACTCTCCACAGAGAATCCGGAACACATTCAGGTAGGAGTGGAAGAAGTCATGCATATGCCAGTGTGGGAGTTGACAGTCTTTGTCTATGTTGCAGACACATTCTTTGTAACTCAAACCAAACAGCTTCAGGCCGACCACAGCGGAAAAGAACATGAATGTGACCAACAGCAGGACCAAGTCTTTCAGGGCCACCAATGAGTTACCAAGAGTCAGCATCAGCATGTTAAATGTTGTCCAGAATTTCCCCAACTTGAAAATTCGCAACTCATAGAGCAATGTAAAAAACAAGAATAAGAAAAAACAACAAAAAACCTGGTCACTATTCATTATGATGTACATTTAAAATTTTTATCAGCATTATACACATACACATATATAGTCTCTAATGTAATATTCAGTTTTGAGCATTATTATACTAACAACTGAAAATTCATTATATGTACAAAAAATTCTTAGTACATCATACATATTCTGTAGTTTTTTACACTAAATCCATACATATCCTCTTCTATTGATCTGTCAATTCCCATTCAATAGTATGCTATTATAATTACTCTAGTTTTATGTTTTAATATCTGGTAGGGCAACTATCCATTCTTTGTTTTGCTTTTCAAAATACATTGGATACTTTCCCACATTCTGACACATAGATGATATTGAAAATGTCTGTCAGTTTCCACTGAATTCCGTGGAAGGGTCATTGTGTATTTCCCTTTTAAAGTAACTTATAAAAGACCAAACACCACATTCTAGATTTAGTCTGAATGCTCCTCTTCTTTTCACTGGATTTGTTATTTCTATTGATATAGCACAAGATTACCTTAACATTTTTGGCCACCATATCTCAGTGAACTTAGTCATCTAAAACCCACATATCATTTTTATATGTGCTATACCTTTCTCAACTTTTTCTAATATATTAAAAAACAAGCTTTCTGAACTCAAGAATAGGACTTTACATTTATCCATGTAAAACTTAATCATCTTAGATTCAGATCATTACTAGCCTTTCAGATATTTTATCTTTTATACTATCTTTTATCACACTTTCCATATTTCCCAGTCTTGTTTCATCCATAAATTTGATAACTACATCTTGTATATATTTCTCTTATTCATTAAAAAAGTTTATGGATGAAGATTTAAGGCAGGGTTCTGAAGGATTATTTACATAAGATCAAATCTATTGAACTGTTCTTGATTCCTGCTACATTCCTTCAACTTGTTACCAGAATGTGACAATATATTATTTATCAAATATTTAATGTTTCCATAAATACCACTCTAATAACATTATTTCTTTGCCTAGTTTTCTGATGTTTATCACCACCCTACATTGCAGACATGTACTGATTCTGACTTAATAATATTCATAATAATATTCTGATGGCCTGACTGTCCCTTTATAAAGTTTTCTACTCTACATTTAGAAATACTCACCTGATTCCAGTTCCTCAGTCACACATTGGCATTCAGAGGCAGGGTCTCTTCATTATCCTGCCTCTCAAAACTGACCCAGTAACCATGGCCATGCTTCCTAGAACTATATCTCAAATTTGCTGCATATGCGGCTATTTCCTTCAATGCATGGTCAAAGAACAGCACTGATGACTGCCTACTCTTTCCTGGGGGCACTTTCTCAGCTCTCTCTATATGAATTAATTCATTTAATACTCCCAATATCCCAAAGGGATAGGTATTACTATTCCTCCCATTTTATGTCTGAGGAAACTGAGATAAATTTTCATCAAATAAGATTTAGGTCTTCGATTCTACTTACCACCCTGAGTGATCGAAAAAGAGCCATTCCATGAATATTCATTAGATAAAGTTCTGCTAAACCATGAAACACAATTAGGCTATCATAAATGTTCCATCCTACTTGGAAATACCCATATGGATGCATGGCAATAATTTTAAAAATCATTTCTGCTGTGAAAATTCCAATAAAAACCTAAATAAAAAAAACACATGGATGAGAATATGATTCCAAAAGCTCTCTCAGAACCCTCATACACAGAGAGTGCCACATTCTTCACAGTTCCTCCGACAAGGTCTGATTAGTTCTGGAGTCTGTAGTACAAGGACAGACTCTTACATGTTATATAACAATCTAATGTCAAACTCTATATACAGAATCCTCAATTATTTTAATAAAAGCTATGCTGGAAGAAAATAAAAGAATATTTGAGGGTGAAATCTCTTCATTTTGAAGTCCTTTTTGGGATCTGGATTACATATTTAATATATTAATATTAGTAATTAATATTTAATTTTTTAAACTATAAAAAAACTTTTTTTTTAAAGTACATATATGATCCAGAGAAAAAAGCAAAGTAAACCTATGAAAATTGTCTTTTGAAAACTACAAAACTAGCAGAAATAACTAAATTACTGTTTTGGTATCAAGTAAATGCGTAATTCAAAACTGGTAGCAGTTTGGCTCCTTATATTAGTACCAAGCAACTAAACAACAACAGCAATAAAAGCAAATCAAGTTAAACAATATACATTTGCTTGAACATAACTTGTTTATAAACTCACAGAAATCTGTTTTTTCTTTTGCATTGTATGTGAAAAAAGGATAGGTGAATCTCAGAAATACCTTGCCAAAATGATAAGCTCCAATGTAAGGCAAAGACAGGTGGTTAGAGAGACAGGGTGAGGGGCAGTTGTAGTCGGGATTCAGAATTCAGGTATCAGTGAAGAACTTATGTCTGTTATTTCACCTCTGCCCTACTCTGATCTAGGGGCTATGGTACTCAGAGAGGGTATATTTGGGAAGGGAGAGGAAATAAATAATTTCCACTTAACCGGACTGCCAAGAAGCTGGCTAGGAATCCCAAATTTAAATAGCAGAATTTTATACTCTAGCTATAAACCTATTCAGTGGTAAGAACATTTACAAAGCAGGGCCTGGGGCAGTGGGGCAGAGACACAGGGACACAATACTTCATTCAATACTCATATAATGCATTTGAAACATATTGGAGTTATAAAATAAAATAATGGAGATAGTGATGACTAAAGAAAAGTTGAAATTGCAAATAAAAATAACGTACAATGATAGCCTTACCAAATTTCCAATGCTGAGAATACTGATGGTTTCTTCACTCATTGGATAATGTTCCAAGGCCAAAAAATACATGTTTAGAATTATGCATATGGTAAGAATAAGATCAGTAAATGGGTTCATTATAATCATATGGACAAACTCTTTCAATTTTAACCAACAGGGAGAACAATTCCAGATCAAAAAAGCTTTAGCAAATTTATACCAACACAATAAGCATCTCTTCCTGGATTTTTTAAGTTCTGAAAGAACAGAAAAGTTAAACATTACAAAATTGGTTTTTTAAGTTCTAACTAATAGAAAATTTTGAGCTTTGCATGCAAAGAGAGGTTTGAAACCAGACTTCTGATTTGGAACTAGCAAATAGAAATATTTCATACTAATAAAAAACAGAGCAAAGTAAATTTCCTCTATTTTTTTCATGCTTGCTGAGTTAGACAAATGAAAACTAGACAAACTGTGTATTAGAAGCAAAATATAGGAGTATCCCTCAAGAAAATAAATATGGAATAGTTGAGAGTATTATGATTTATAATTTCTAGATCTACAAGCTTTATAAGATAATGCCTTTCAACATTGCCCATATAATGAGTTACTGGTTAGATGTAAAAAAGCAGAGACAAATAGAGAATTAATATGTTAATGTTATATGTATGCCAACCTCTATTTTTAGTCATGTTAACACTTCTACATCATTTTCAACATTAAAGAAAATTCCTTGGCACTCTTTGATGACCCTTTCCAATGTTCAAAACACTATGCTTATGGAATTTTTATGCATTGTTCATCTTAATATTCTCATGTTATTCCTTAAATTTTAGTTAATATCATCTAAAATTCTGAAGAAATTGTACAATTTCTTTAAAAGTGAATCTTATGAATAGTACCTTCCACAGTGCCTAAATATTTTTTACTGTACCTTCTTTATGTCTGATAGTAGCATCATCCAACATATCCAAAGAAGTGATCATAGAAGGTGGTGATCTTTTCTTCATTTCTATTTGTATGGTCTTGGTCTAGAAATAAATTTGATGAGTCTAATACTGGCTTCTTCCCTTTGTAGATCCAAGACTGTAACTATAAGAACGTTTATAACCTTCTTAAAAATGCTGATTCTTACCTCCAGGAGCCTTTCTGGGTTCCATCATTTGCTACTCTTTACACTATAGGCAGTATTAAACTAATTTGGGATTGTTTGGAAAATGAATGTGTATAACTTGCAACTCAGCAAAATAATTTTATACTATGAGGTCAACTGTAAAGGAGCAAAGGCTGAGAATATTAGTGGAATGACCCATATTTGACAAAGAATTCAATGTATAGTTTAGGATTATTGTAAAATATCCAGTTGGCAAACATGCTACCGAATAATAACAGTATTTCTCTAACACCTTAAATTTTTTCCTTGAGGATATCTTAATTTTATAACTTTGTAAACTATTTTGTAAATTATTTTGATTTTCATAAAATCAAAATAATTTAGTTTTGTGATGATGAAATAAGTTTTGAAGAATATCTACTAACAGAATGGATTTAAAAGGGTTGCTTTGGTTAGAACATATATGATAATTCCATAAAAGAATCACTTCACTCCGTCTCTCATGTCTCTTGAGTAATGGTTTTAAGACACCCTCTATCTTGCTGATGTGGTTACACAGAGTTAAAAGGAATCCTCACATTGGAAAGACCCTCAAAACTCCTAGGCATTGATGTAGATGTTAAAAGTTATATACATTCATAATTATCACAAGTATAGCCCCAGATGTTTCTAGTGACCATGTGTAAAATATGTATTTAAATTTACAGTCTAAGAAACTGACAATGGGTTGATGATATTACAACATAGATTTTCTAACAGTTTTTACATTTGGCAACACACAAAGAATCATAATATTTGTGTATTTGTTAACTTGGTAAGTAGGTGAGGCTAAATAGGTGAAATTATAGTAAGTAAATTTCAATAGGTGAGGCTGCTCTTGAGTAGAGTTAACTGGCAGGGGGCTGCTCCTGCCCTAACACTGAGAGAATTGGTGGTTGAGGCTCACTGATAACCCCTACCCAGCACACTCTGGGTGGTAAGTTCTGCTGCAGTCTATCTGAAATGGCACAATTGATATTAAGGGAATCATATTCATCTCATTCAGTATCAGTCAAATCCCCACTAATTTCACAAATACAGAGGCTAGAGGAGGTGAAAACCAACTATACTACACACTGAGTTCCATTAGGAAAATGACAGATTCTGCAGGTCTACAGACCTCCATTCCCTCACTTTTTTTCAATTGAAAAAGGAAGCTAAAAACTCAGGATGTGAGGTTAATTTATTTATTTAAACCATGTTTATTACAGAAAGTATTTTTTAGCTGATCTGTAAGGTTACATAAAGTATGTTATAATTTACACAATTCCAAATTTCCATGAGTTAAAAACCAACAGAAATACAATTTTTCTGTTATTAAGATCTGACAGGGATTTCCTAGGTGTATCTTTATAAAGATGATACTTTGTGATATAGTGAATAGTATCCTCCACTATATTCTTAATATAGGAGAATTACTTCTTATAGTGCTGTTTCTGATAATGACAATGTTTGATGAAATCACACCGAAGAGCAATACAGTAAAGATAATTGTCTGTGTGTGGGATGTGAGGGGGGTGGAGAGGTAAAGAAATAATGTTATTGTTGATATAGTCAATGCTCAATTCTCTGCTAATATGGCTTGAATTACGGATATATTTTAGAATATAAATTAAATGAACCACATATCAGTGTAGTAATGTATTTATCTTGATTGAGCTTCTCAAAAATATTGAATGCATTCCCACAAGTTGTCCAACTACTAAGAATATAGCTATTTTACAATGCAAATTGAGTGGATCATAACTCAATAACTTTCCTTTTTGGAAGTTTAAGAGCTAATAAGGGCATATGCCTGAACTTTAGACAATCCAATTGTAAAATTAGACTGGAAAAAGGGGCGGGGATTCTTTTTCTCAGGACAGGTTTAAATTTTCCTTGGAGAAGAGGTATGAATAAGGAAGAACCCAGTCATATTTCTAGCATTTAGCAATGAATATCGGAAGTATTCATCTTGGACTCAGACTTGCTGTCTCTACTGCAGCCACACTGCCCTTTTTAATCCTCTGACTCACTCTGTTCCTTCTCCCTATATAGCATGGACTCATTCTTCAGATATCAGCTCAAATGTCATTTCCTCATAAAAACCTTTCCTGACTCAGAGAAATCCTTTATTACAGGCTCTCAGAGCAGCAGGTTTGTCTCTTTTACAGCATTTGCCACAGTTTCATTTAATTTTTTTTTAGTAGAGAATAATACAACCACCAGGTACCCAATATCTAGCTTCAACAATTACTAACATTATACTCTTCGTTTCACATGCATTACTCACCCTACTTTTTTTCCTGAAATATATTAAATCAAATTTCAGACGTCATATAAGTATCACAATAAGCTTTTAAAAAAACAATCACAACACCATGATCACAATCAGCAAAATTAGTAATTACTTCATATTATTCAATATCCAGACCATGTCAATTTTCTTTCACTGATTAAAAACATCCTATTACAGTTGACTTGTTCTGATCAAAATATAAAAAAATCCACGTTGTATTTAGTTCTCAAATCTATTGATCATCTAGTAATTTTGAATTTCTTTTTCCTATGTGATTTATTTGTTGAAGATATTGGGTCTCTTATACTGTAGAATTTTCTACATTCTTGATATGGCATATTGTGTATTTTTAGTTTAATTTAATGTGTTGTCTCTCTCCTATACATTAGTCTCTGAAAAAAGATGGCTAGAGCTAGAGTATTATTAGACTTAGCTTAGATTTTGGCAAGAATATATTGTACGTGGTCTTTTGTGTTTCCTATTTCATAACATCAGGAAATACATAATGCTTGGTGATCATAGAGTTATAATTTTGTGTTTATGAAAATTTTATAGTCTACCTCTCCATTAGACCATTAGCTTCATGAAGATAGATACTATATTTGTATTTATTAAATCTTTTTTAATCTCCAATGCTTAGTACAAGGCATATCATATAGTAGATTGTTAATTATGTTTTATTTAATTAGATAAACCATAAGGATGTAAGTTTAGATGGACAAATATTTTTGAAAATATTTGTATTCCTACAGCTGTATATATCTGATTCTCTTCCTAAGCTTTTGCCAGTAACTGACAATTCATAGGAAATTTTCACCCACAAACTGTGTAACTGATGGAATAATATTGTTTCAGCATTGAGCCTCCAGAACAATAAAGTGGTGAAAAATGGGTTCTCTGGCTGTTGAGAAATCAGATAACCAATAAATATAGATCAAAATCTGCAACTGGAACTCCTCAATTAGGATTAAATTTGAGAATTCATGAAGATGCTTATCATATGTCTGGCACATAGTTGACACTCAATAAATATTATATACTATTATTATTATTATCATTGTCATTATTATTTTAATTATCCCTGAAAGGGGATATAGTCACAGACTTAAGAATGTTATGTTGATGGAGTATCCTGTGCCTTCTTGTATTTGTCTTTCTGTATTCCCTATAATTAGCTATTAACATTTTTCTAGTTGGTTAGTATATTCTAAGCACTGCCAAGTGCTTTATAAGCATTTATTTCATTTGAATCTCACAACAACCTATGAGACAGATACTACAATTATATACAGATGAAGAAGCTGAAGTTTAGAGAGGTTAAAGACTTGGCAAATATCACACATCTATTAAGTGGCTAAAATGAATTGAAATCTGTATTTATCTGACTGCAAAACTGTGCTTTTAGTCAATACGATCTATTGCTTTTCTATAATGTGAGAATATGAAATATCTAAGCAATCTCCCAGTAATTCCAAAACACTGGAATTAGAATCTGACTAGTCTTAAATCATATCAATCACCTAAAGGGTCCTCAGTACGTCCCATTTTAAATTCTTCTCTCTCCGGTGTTTTCTTATGTATCAATGAAAAAGGAAAAGAAAATAAATCTCGTGAAAATGACCCTCACTTTCACTTCCCAGAAAACTTTTGCATGACAAAATGTTCTAGTACTCTTCCAGAAAAAGAAATCCTTTATAATTTAGAGATTTTGATTAAAATCAGAAAGGCTTTATGTGATCCAGAGCTGTCAAATGAATGGCGATATTGGGAAATTGGGAAATAATGTAAATTCTTCATAAGGAGAGTTAATAAGGCATCTCATCTTAGGATAAGAGAAGTATTGTGCTCTTGGGTACATTTGTGTGTAGCCCTTTAAACCTGAAATGCCACTTCAAAACAAATTACACATTCAACATGTCATTCAAACTCTAATTATTCAATCTGAAGGATTCCAAACTTCTTTCTTGGGATAAAAAGCTTTTGTAAGTTGTTTTTCTGTGACTTCCTCATGGGTGACATAATGGCTATACTCAATAGCCTCTTTTTATACACGTTTTCTTCATATGGTCTATAATTGCTTCTTGTTTCAATGGTATCTATGTTACGGACCTCGGACACAAGTATCTATCAATAACTTGTCATTTGGTATGATCCCACATCATGTCATTCAGGCCCCACTTTTTGGTAGAATGACTTTTCTAGAGCTTCTTCATTGATGATGACTTAATGAAAGAGCTATATATGTAGAGGAGTTAACATTTTCCCCTTTTTGACCTAGAAGGTACCTTTAGTATTAATGAACCTCTTAGCCAACCTTACTACATATTCTGCTTAGTGCCAGAATGTATCTTGGCCCTTTACTTTTCCCCATCTCTTTTTATCCTCCTTATATGAGAGAGTCCTGGGTATAGCTCCTTTCTATTCTTTGTTTGCTCCCTCAGTCTGTCCTTGTTCATCTGCTAGAAAATGTAGTTTGAGTTTTTTTTTCCCAGTGTAGACAATCTTTATTAGCGGGTGTTAAGAGTGCAAAATAGTAACAAATCCAGAGGGATGGAAAAAGAGGCAGGCCACGGCTCCCCTCCCTCAAGTGAGGGCCCTGTAAACAGGCCAGTGGGGCAGGAACACTTGACTTGACTATGGCCACTTTGGGCCCATCACTCTCCAAAGAACAAGCTCCCAGGCAGGAGGGCTCCTCACAACATGGGGAAGGCGGGGCAGGGAAGGGAGCAATGCCCAGGAAGAGTCATGGACAACGTCCCACCCCAAGCCACTTGGCTCCTGCCCACTGCACACCTTGACAGCTCTGGGTAGTGGTGTTACGATACTGGGCTAAACCTATCCCTCTCCAAACTGAGGAAGAGACGTGAGATTGCCAAGTCCTGTGGAATATAAGAAAGTGACTTCTGGTTGCTTCCTGGTCCTGTTCTTCCTTTTAGCACACTTAACAGCACAATTTAGATTTTTAATGATAATTTTCTACAATTTCTTTAATGCTACTTCTGTCAACACTTTTAGATTCATAGAGCAAATCTCTTGTTATGAGGCTAAAAATCTGAAAATAAATTCAAACACAACGCTTAAGTAATTGAAAATTAGTTAAAACCTTATTAAGTTTTACTAATCATGGATTTAAGTATTCGATGGATAAAATAATTTCCTATATCATGATGCACAGTGCATTTCCTCTTGAAGGAGCTAGAAAGCCAATGAAGTGAATTTTTTTCTCTTTTTACAACTTCAGTACTGTACTTTTATCCATGCTTTTAGTACTTCATGATTTCTAAACTATCACCTTTGAGTTGAATGCTAAAATTTTCCAAAGTTAATTCTGATGTGGTGTCTGAAGCAAGTTTGAATTAAGAAACTATACCTGCATTAAGAAAAGTCAAATTTGAAAAAGATATAATATATCCATAGTTTATAGCAGTAGTAACACACCTTTAGGAACAAAAAAATTGTATATACTAAAGAAATCTTTAAAGATGTTGGTCACTCTTACCACAGTTCACTCAGGAAAGAATGTTATGTAGCAAAAGTGCTCTTATTAAAATCACTTTTCATCTTATCATGTACCACACACAGATATGGAGCATCTAGTAGAAGGCAATATACTCCAAGACCTTGAGAAGATAACTCAAACTCTGTGATTCTAAGAAATATTTAAAAAAAAATTATACCTCAGCTGCTTCATTTTCTTCTTGAAATTCTTTTAAAGTCTGCTGAAATGGTTCAAACTTCTTAGCCTTTTCAGCTTCTTCGTAGGACATAGCGAGTGCGCCCAAGAACAAACTTGTCATATAAAAGGCAAACCAAAAACTTATCACAACAAAAAATATCATGTAGACCTTCCCAGAAGCATAAAGGATCTACGAAGAGTTGGAAAATAAGACAAAAGAGGAAAACGTTATTTGTCTTCCTGTAATCTCCTATTTTAAAATGAAAAATGAAATTTTGTTATGACAATAATTTAATTATAAGTGGAATGTAATCACAAGACAGTTTAAGTTCTGTCTCTACTTGGAAAAATAAGCAAAAAACTCTTCAACTTTAGATACACATGTAAGATATAAAATATATGGTACAAAACCAAAGGAAGAATTTAGTAATTTAATTGATTTAGAGTATTTGACTTTTATATCTTCGTTAATATAAAAAACATATTGAAAAGAAAAAATTTTGATCTCTCAATAAAGAAAGCTAGGCAGTCTGAATATGGAAGATTATGTCCTTAGCAGTAGACTCTTTAAATATGTGAAGTTTAATGAAGTCAGAGAATGAATGTTTGGAGATCACTTTCTTCTGATCATTACTTTATGGAAAGATCACAACAAGGTACAGTCAGGTCTATTCAAAGGAGTGGGGAACAGGAATATTCCTATCTGTCAGAATACCTGCTTTGGTGAAGAACTTTTAGGCAAATTACATGCAAAAGTCATATAGTTCACTTGTATGAAGTCACTTAACGAATAGAAAAATACAAAATTTTAGATTTCCAATCTGAGCATTGAGTTGATTTTATTTCATTTTTAATTTTTGTTTATTTATTTATTTATATTTATTTACTTTTATTACCTAAGATAGGTCAAAAAATTTAAAAATTTAGAAAATTATGAGTAGACATTATCAATCCAAAATACAGTCCACTGATTTATTCTCATTGATTAAAAGTAAATGAATGAAATTCAAGAAAAAAAATGGGAATAGTTTTAATTTTTAAGCATCCATTTGAATTAATAGATTACTATTATTTACAGAAAATATTGTGTTGATATAACAGTTAAGAATGTTTACAGATTAACAGGAATTTCTAATATTCAACCAGAAATAATTTCTTATTATTCTATAGTATATTTGTCTTTATTTATTTATTTATTTTTTGGTGAGGAAGATTGGTCCTGACCTAACACCTGTTGCCAATCCTCCTCTTTTTTTGCTGAGGAAGATTTCCCCTGAGCTAACATCTGTTGCCAATCTTCCTCTTTTTCTTGAGGAAGATTGTCCCTGAGCTAACATCTGCCTATCTTCCCCTTTTTGCTTGAGGAAGATTGTCCCTGAGCTAACATCTGTGCCAATCTTCTTCTATTTTGTATGTGCGTTGCCACCACAGCATGGCTTTTGATGAGTGGTGCAGGTCTGCTCCCAGGATCCGAACTTGCAAACCCCAGGCCACCAAAGTGGAGCTCGCTGAACTTAACCACTATGCCACCGGGCTGGCCCCAGTATATTTGTCTTTAAAAGTATTTTTAATAAACCCCATTAGTCCAGTGAGTCAGCTATTTAGGATTTGGTTAAATATTTTTCCCACTGAACTAGCTGTCATGTACAGTAGTACATTCAGGAGTCAGTAACAGATATTATGTAGTATACTGCAGGCCATCTACATTAATAAATACCTTATGAGGGCTGGCCCGGTGGAGTAGAGGTTAAGTTCACACGCTTTGCTTCAGCGGCCTGGGGTTCGCAGGTTCGGATCCCAGGCGCAGACCGATGCACCACTTCTTAAGCCGTGCTGTGGCTGCATCCCATATAAAGTAGAGGAAGATGAGCATGAATGTTAGCCCAGGGCCAGTCTTCCTCAGCGAAAAGAGGAGGATTGGCAACGGATGTTATCTCAGGGCTAATCTTCCTCAGTAAATAAATAAATACTTTATGTTTATTGTCTCATTAATTTTGTGCAACACCTTTATGTGATATTTACTATACTATTATTTCCAATATGCAGAAGAGAAATGAAAATTAGATAGGCAAAATGATTTCCTAAAGATTTCACTGCTATGGGAGAATGCCTGAATCCACAACTTTTGTTCTTTCCACCATATGAAGCTGGTGGAGGATAAAAGTATACACTCTTATTAGGATGGAAAAGTGCACAAATTCTATTATATTTTAGTATAAAATTGGGGCCAATTATAGCCCCCATATGATAGGTTTGTTATGAAAATCAAATGAAATAATGCATGCAAAGATCTTCGCCCATGGCAAATAGGCAATACACATTAACTATTGTTAAGCATAACTCCATTCCATGAAGATTGACACTTGGTTTTCTTCATTTTTGTACACATAGTGCATCAAACAGTACTTGGATCAAATAAATATTTGTTGAATGAATGAAGAATTATATTCTCCAAAACATGAGCTGTATTCTTTAGGAATAATTGCTGAACTTCCCTAGCCATAGTCAGTTTAGTTTAGGGCAATGCTCACAGTATAAATTCAGTCCAAATCAAAGCAAACGTTATCCACCCTAGTTACTAAAAACTTAGAGTTCAATAATGATGAAGGTCCTGTATGGACTCCAACACCAGGCACTCCCAAACTGATTGCTCACTTCACTGGTAGTGGGAAAGGATTTCCTCTAAGCCAATGCTACCAAGAAAATTAGCTAACATACTTTGAGGGCTGTAAATAAAGGCAAGACATTTACTATTATATAAAGTGACATAATCCATAAATATTCACTTAGATTTTTTGTTTATTAAAATTTCATTAAGCATTTCTATGTGCTAGATGCTAAGAACACAAAAATTAGAATAAGACAAATACTTCTTCTTAGGTAGTAGATCTCCTAGTGGGAGGAAGAGCTGAACAAACAAGTAAAATAACCACTGTCAGAGGCAAGTATAGGGTACTGTGGAGTTCCGGTAGAGGATATGCCTAACTTTGAAAAGAGGGCTTGAGGAAAAGCTCAAAGAAGAAATTTGGCTTATGAATTTGAGGTGTGAGACTGAAGACAGAAAGAAATTTGAATTTAGGTGGAAGGTACAACATATACTGAAACAAGAAATTATGGGAAAAGCTCATTTAGGAAACAGCAAGTCTTTTTTAGGCTCAAATAAAGCAGAGAGTATATATTGGGATATTGTTAGGAAATAAATCTGGAGAGTATCTCCCAGTTCTTACGGAAATTTCATCCCATAGGAATTTGGAAACCACTGAAGGATTTTTAGAAGGAGGATTACAAGATAAGATTATTTTAGAAATAAGAAGTTCCTAGTGTTGTGGAGGAGGAAAAAGTTTGGGAAATAATATGAATATTAATCTTACAAAATTAGAAAAATATAGTTTGCATAAAGAAAAAATGTCACTTCTAATATTTTCATGTACTTCTTTTACTAGAAATATAACTGTACTACATGTATGTTTAGTTCACTTGATTTCCATTTAATAATATATCATGTACATTTGTGCCAAAAATATATTATATAATCTTATCATTATTAATGGCCTGTACACACACACACCATAATTTATCTATCCAATTATAAAAAGTATGATGTATGTGTTCAAAAAAGTATGCTCTCCTTCAACTATAAATACTTCTGGAGTTTAAAGTAATTTATTTATTTCATCTAATATCTTTTGATATTAACTATGCTGCTAAAATAACATTGCATATTCTGTGGTAAAACTCTTAAAAGAAAAACTGAATCTCCATTTTAATGAGTATTACATCTTTCTGAGAAACTATGGCCCACAAATCATCAGTTATGAAGAGAGACTCTCAGAATTTGGATTTCAAATCTCATAAAAGCAAGTCTTCTGTTATTATAACTGGACCATGATTGAATTTTAAAGGGGAATGAGAAGAAATAGAAGAATTGAAAAGAAATAGTACATTGTAGGCATTCCATAAATAATTGCTTAATACATGGTAATCTCATAGGTTCAAATTTTTTGACTAAATAATTAGTACCTAGAAATGCTCTCTACTTAGTTAATATCACTTGTATGATATCACAGAGCAGGACAGTGATCTCGGGCAGATACATGTGTTGTAACTTTGGGGAGGTTACCCAACTGCTCTGACCTTAGTGTCTTCATATAAAAAGCAGATATATATATATATGTATGTATTGACCTTGTAGGATTGTTTCAAAGACTAAATGAGCTATCATACATAAGAGCACAGACTTGGGCACAGTGTTAGCATTTGGTTTGACATTCAACAACTCTGGTTCTCTTTTCTTCTGTCCTCAAATTCTTCTTCAGGTAAAAATTTAATAAACTACATTACATTTGACCATCATTTTAGAAGGGAAGAGCATGGCACCACTCTTAACGTGCAGTGCGGATTCTCTCTGTTCTCACCTGGTGATAAAGTGCTTCAGGGTAATCCTGTGTCATTAACCGAAACAGAGCAAAGAAGGCCCAGCCAAAACTGTCAAAATTTGTGTATCCAGAATCAGGATTTATGCCAGCTTTTACACACACATACCCTTCAGGACACTGACTAAAGAAGACAAAGAAAGGAAAAACCGCTCACTCTTAGATGACGGTAAGATTATGTCCAAATCATAAATATAGAACACCTGCCCCTGAATAATAACAGTCTCCCTTTTCCACAGGGAGTAACTGGTCTCCTCCCAAACAATTCCCAGTAAAAAAGCTGCAAATAACTTAGATTTTATATTGATATAAGCGAAGAGTTGTTAATTAAGCTAACAGAAAAAATGGCCTCACAAATGGCTTTTGCCAAGCCTTTGTTCAAGATTTCTTTACTACCCAATATCAAAGTGAAAGAACAACTGATGGAAAATAACACTGATAAAAATAGAACCGCAGTAGTTGAGGGTTTAATTTTCAAATGATCTCACCTCAAACCCTGAGATCCCATTATTTAAGAGTGAGAAAACATTTATCACATCAATAATTTACAAGCAGTACTTGCATTTTGGTAGAAAGATCTGATTAAATATTTATTTCATCTCCTTTCATGGAGTCTTCATACTTTTATCTATTGGGGGCTCGGGTGTTGTGGTTGATTATTACAGTAGCAGTAAATTACGCTTCCCTCTATCCACACCCTTGTGTAGCTCCCTCCGACATTATTCTGGCTTTGGCCATGAGACTTGTTTCAGACATTTGTTAGTGGTTAACAAATGTGATACAAACAGAGGTTTAAAAAGTACTTGTGCATTGAGGTTGCTAAATTGCTGACCCACAGAATCTGAGCGAATGAATTTTTGTCCTTGTCTTAAGGCACTAACTTTTGGGATATTTTACCATGCAGCAAAGTATGATGGCTACAGGTGCAACATTACGTGACTTTCTCTTCTGCCTTGAAATATATCAATCTGATTCTGATTATCCCCATGACCAGATAATTTCCAAGCATTTGAGGTCATATTTGAGTTTGGGATGTCCACAAAAAGGGTGAGCTAGAGTGGGATGGCGTAGACACAATGAGATGGATTCACAATTTGGACGTGAAAATAGAACGGAATCTCAGCAGTAGCTGGGCAAACAGTTGAGCAAGTGACAAAATGGCCAAATCACCTGAATACAACTAAACTACATTACTCATGCTCCTCTCTCACCATGTGCCTTTTGTCAGTCTGGGCCCCAGAGCCTATGAAAGAGCTGAGCCTACAGATGGGTGTCAAGTCATCCCAGCTGAGGAAAGTAACATAAGGAATTACGTGAGTCATAGTACTGCTGAGAAGCACTCTATTTCTATTTTCTGATATCTTCATCTGAAATTATAAGACAATAATACTTAAGAGTTTCATCATCTCACTGAAGAATTATTTATAAGTACCATTTTTGAGAACAATAAGCTTTTTGTTAACGTAAATTATAACCATAAAAGATATACAAGCCATAGATAAGTGAAATAGCATATCTTTACTAGTTCTTTTCTTCAAAGGCTTCTGGCCAAAGAAAAGACTATATTGTTTTGCTTTATAATCCTCACCAGCTCTGGGGCACACTGAATACAGACAATAAGATCCTTGTTCAAGTCCCAGCTCTGCCATTACTAACTTCTTGATCTTGAATAAATCATTTAGCTAGTGTGTCTATCACTTTTTACTGTGAAACTGGATTAACAGTATTCTATATTGTACACTTCTCACCATAGTTTTGATGATAAAATGAGATAATGCAATCAAATGGGAATCATCATAAGGCAATAATCATTCAATAAATACTATTGATTGGTGATACTGACTTGATAGAACATTAACACCACTTACCCAGCATCTGTTCTGTTGCCACAAAGGAGAGCATACCTTTCTCCTTCTAAATAATAAAAGTTTTCTGTTTCTGAAAAATAAGAAAGAAATGATATTCTTTACCTAATCTTGAGTAAACAGCATATCTGAAATTATTTAAATCTGTACAGATGAGCAATCCCTCTCTACAGTGAGAAGGAAGGAGCAGATAGCCCAGCCTTTTTTATCTAGGAGGCTATCCAACGTCTGATGCACAGGCCAAAAGAACTCTGGCAATTCACCTAGTTCACTGCCCCAAAGGCAACAAAGCTCAGCATAGAAAGAGGAGAATCCCTTTCAAAATTAGAATTCAGGAAAATGAATATAATCAGCCAGGTGTGACCAGACTTCAAAGGAGAAATTCCCAAGACTAATCTGTTTGAAAGCTGAAATCCTCTTCTTCCAGGGTTTTTCCCTAATGATCTTCCTGAGCAGAAGACCAGATTTTTCTGTCTCTGGGTTTAATTTCCATTCTCTTTCCACTTTGAAGCTTATTTTTCTCCGTGGAGCATCCAGTGCCAATTACTTGCCCTGATATCATCTAATTTCCATCACAACCCAAGCTAATCAGAGTCATAGCCCATAGAATTTATCCAGGCATCCTTACCTGTTGTCAATCAAAATGCAGATTGTGTATTTATAGCTATCAGTCACCAGAGTTGGCAACATACATGCAAAAACATTGGTTTTTTAAGTTTTGAATTCAAATCACAGAGATCAAACCCATGAGATCAGTCCTGAGGGTGTGTGTGTGTATATATATACACATATACAAAGCATACATATATATACACATACAAATACATATATGCAAAATATATATATAGCTACAAAATTGAATGCTCCAATCTCAAATAATGTCACTTTAATTTGTCACCTAAAATAATTTTAGGAGAATTTTTAAGTCATATATAGGAACCACTGATCAAACCTTTTGAATGGCAGTCAAAAACCAAATGAAATTTGACATTAGTAGAACTGGGCAATCCCAAGTCCTTTCTAAATACAAGGACTATGACATAGAAATTGGGTCAAATAATGTTTTACAAATATGATATTTTCAGCAATTTCTAGCATGTTATTTGAGGACATGGAATGGCTAGAATTGGTAATCTTTAAAAAGTGATTTCTTTAGAATATAGTATTGTAATTTAACAAAGATGAAAAGAACCTGACTCTGTTTTCTTAGCAATAACCAGTGAAGTAGCAAAATTTGTTTGTTTTTAAAATAACTAGCATATTTTGTTACAACATCAAAGAAACCAAAGGGAGGTATTTCAGTTGGAATCTAAGATCTAACATCCCCCTCCTGGTGTCCTCACCACAGAATTAGGACCATGAAATAGACACATATAATAAGGAAACATTTCACATACTCATATAGTAACAATTTTGTATTACTTGCATCATAATCATATTATGAGTAAACCAATGAGTAAAATTTAAGATATGTTTTAGAACTTATTAAATACAAAGTATAAATAAAATTAATGTAGAAGGACTACATAAGATTCAGCAACACTTCATTTTTATTAGTTGAAAAATATGCTTTTATGCTCAACATCACTAGTCATTAGGGAAATGCAAATTAAAACCACGATGAGATATCGCCTCATGCCTGTTAGAATGGCCATCATCAAAAAGACAAGTGATAACAAATGCTGGTGTGGATGTGGAGAAAAGAGAACCCTTATGCACTACTGATGGGATTGTAAATTGGTACAACCACTATGTAAAACAGTATGGAGGATCCTCAAAAAATTAAAAACAGAACTACCACATGATCTGGCAATTCCACTTCTGGGAATATATCCAAATGTAACAAAAACACTATCAAAAAATATCTGTACTCCCATGTTTATAGCAGCATTATTTACAATAGCCAAGACATGGTAACACCTGACTGTCCATTGATGGATGAATGAGTAAAGAAATTGTGGCACATGTATATAACGGAATATTATTCAGCCACAAGAAATGAGGATGTCCTACCATTTGTGACAACATGGATGGACCTTGAAGGCATCATGCTAAGTGAAATGAGTCAGACAGAGAAAGATAAATACTGTATGATTTCACTTATATGTGGAATCTAAAAAACAAAAAAACCCAAACTCATAGAAAAAGAGATTAGACTTGTGGTTACCTGAGGTGAGGGTAAGGGGGTGGGGGAATTGGAGGAAGGTGGTCAAAAGGTACAAACTTCCAGTTACAAGATAAATGAGACTAGGGAGGTAATGTACAAAATGATGACTACAGCTAACACTGCTGTATGATATATAGGAAAGCGAAGAGAGTAAATCTTAAAAGTTCTCATCACAAGGAGAATATTTGTTTTCCTTTATTCTTCTTTCTTTTCCTTTTATTGTATCTATATGGGAAGAAGAATGTTAGTTGAACCTACTGTGATAATCATTTCACAATATATGTAAATCAAACCATCATGCTGTACAGCTTAAAAATATATATATGCTTTTATTTTTTTCGAAATACTGTCAGAAAGGATCTGATAATTTTAGTATGAGATAAAAATCCAACAAAAGAGTATGGCCTGGTGAAAAAGGAATGGGTTTTAAAGCCAGATTGAGCTTGGTTAGAATGCTAGTTTTACCACTGAGTAGTTCCAGTATGCTGGGACATTCACTGACTTTCTCTGAACTTCCGTTTCTTCGTTTGTCACAGGGGTTGTTTATGTCTCCTCTGCAGGATTATAGTGAAGATATGGGATCAGGCATGCGAGTTACTTGTGCACAACAGGTAAGCAGTACTTACTTGGCATTATTTCTATTAGCCTAAATATTTTCATTATTTACCAAAGTATAACTCAAAGCATTTAAAATGATCAGCAGTAACTGAAATCCAACAACAGTAAGAATTTCTATGACAGGGCTGGCCCCGTGGCTTAGCGGTTAAGTGCGTGCGCTCCACTGCTGGTGGCCCGGGTTCGGATCCCGGGCGCCCACCGACGCACCGCTTCTCCGGCCATGCTGAGGCCGCGTCCCACATACAGCAACTAGAAGGATGTGCAGCTATGACATACAACTATCTACTGGGGCTTTGGGGGGAAAATAAATAAATAAAATCTTTAAAAAAAAAAAAAGAATTTCTATGATGTAGGCCATTTTTTGATTTATAGGGTCACCCCAAAATTTCTAATGAGTAAACTTAAATTCATATTTTAAATAACTTTATGGAAGAAAGGTAGTTTCATGAGGATTCTACTCTGATGAAACTGCAAATAAGACTTTGGTCATATTTATTTATTTTTTAAAGGATAAAATTTGCAAAATTCAGCAATTCCAAACTTAAGTTTTGCTAATTTAACTGTCTGAAGATTGGAACTTTGCGATCCTGATAAATGAAACTGATCCAAATGAGTACTCGAGCATAGTTACAGCACTTACACGAAGTTTGTTCTGACGTGGAATTTGTTCTGCAGTTGCATGGTCAACATTTCAGTGAAGACTGCTCTACTGTTAAGAAAAATTCTAATCTTTTGACACGTTAATCTTACCTCGAATATAATATGGGTTACCAGTTCTGTTGTGCAGGGGTTCAGTTTCATTTTCTCGGGGCCATCGCAAACATTTATGCTTCAGGTTACCCATGAAGAGCCCCATCCCAATTAGAGAAAACACGCTCAGAAAAAACAGAGTTAGGATAATGACTCCAGTAAGTTTCTTCAAGCAATGGATGAGGATCCCTACAAAAGACTTCAGACCTGAAAAGAGATTTGTTTTGGTAAAATAAAATATCTTAGTAAAGCAGCATTAGCAAACTTCTCCCATGGCAAACGTATACTCCGTTGAAATCAATAGCTTTGTGTTTTATAATCAAATTCATCATTATCTAGGTCTAATAAATAAAATGAATAAAAATCCAAACTTTGAGGTTTCTGTATTATTTCTAATTTATTACACCTGAAAAAATAATTTAGACACAATATTTTAAAATTAGCTGTTTGTCTGTTCCTCTTTACTACACAAAGAACAGGCTTTCTCTCTTAGTTACTGCTTTTCATACCAATCACCATTGTTTATAAGAATAAGTAGGGCCGGTCCATGGCTTAGAGGTTAAGTGTGTGCGCTCTGCTACTGGCGGCGGGTTCTGATCCTCAGCACACACTGTTGCACCGCTTCTCCGGCCATGCTGAGGCCGCATCCCACATACAGAAACTAGAAGGATGTGCAACTATGACATACAACTATCTACTGGGACTTTGGGGGAGGAAAAAAAAAAGAAAAAGGAGGGGGATTGGCAATAGATGTTAGCTCAGAGCCGGTCTTCCTCAGCAAAAAGAGGAGGATTAGCATGGATGTT